TTCAGCAAACATCTGTCCAGTCTTTCTAGAATTCGTGCACTACCACTCTTGTTATTACACCAAGTAAATTTAACACCAATAATACCCACATCATGTAGATCATTATTGTCATAAAAGCCTTCATTTCCAAAGGCCCATGGGAGAGAGAAAATTTCTTCCCACCTTTCTTCTCATCTTGTGAAAGTATGCAATTGATGTCGCCTCCAATTACAGTAGGGGTATCCTGTTCAACAATACCATCCATAGACCTCCAAAGTTCGCTTCTGCCTTGAAATTCTCTGCTGTCGTAAATAGTAGCAACCATCCACTTGCTTTTATTGAAGATTTCCAATTCTCCCAGCACACACTGGTCCGAAGACTTCATCAAAGAAAATGAAGCCACATTTGTGTTCCAAATCACCATGATTCCACCAGAGTTCCCCCTAGATGGCTGCAGGAAAAAATTCCATTCTTCACCCATGATTTTCACAAAATCATCCTTGGTAAGAGAAGCAGTCTTAGTTTCAATGATACCTACAAAAAACACATCCCATTTTTTAATATACTCCTTCAAATAAAGGGAGGCCTCTCTCTTGTTGGCATCCCTACAATTCCAAAAACTAATGGAATTCATTTGGAAACAAATGGGGGTAATCCCCCACCCGTTCTTCTGTTCAAATTATTTCTGTCTTGTCTTGAAGATAAATTCAGCGGGCCCAAATGCCTTAGTTCCTTAGAGAGTTTAATTTTTTGTGAAGAGTTTTTCTCAACACTTTGAGAACTAATTTCTTCAGCCAAATTAGCAGATTCCTTCAAAGCTTCATTCTGGGCAGATGCCCCAATGTTATAGTTATGACATTCCTCCGTTTCTTTCATCATTTCCCCTTCTTCCAATTCCTCTTCTAAGGATTCAACTTGAACATCCACATCAATGTCATCTTCACATACAGAGTTTAGTAACTCAAATTTGTTACCTTGGCAGCATAACAGTTTTTATGGAAGAATCAACATCCAAATTTCCATCAGGTTCTCTTTGATCTACCAAGCATTTTGCTTGTAAAATAAAAACCTTTTCAGCTTCAAAAGAATTCAGAGCAGCTTCAGAAGATCCACGAATTTCCACCTGACCTTTTAAACCTTCCAGCTTGTTTGTTGATATTCCATCTGTTGTATTTGCATTATTATTCATTTCAGCATTTACAATAGAAGCATCCTTCAACCCGATACTCTGCCTATCAGTTCCCTCATGAATTTCCCTATCCTCCAGTAGATGGTTAGCAGTCACAGTATCTACTATCTTCTCTTTATTGACATGAGTCTTTGTTGAATCCACAACAGCTTTCTCTCCATGAGCTCCAACTGTTCTTTTCCACTATTTTCTAACATTTTCTGGATCACCTTGTAGCTTCCCTGTTCTTCTATTGTTCCTCTTCTTGACCATGATCCATGGACCATAAGAGGATACAGCTTCCCTGCTAATAGTTTTCCTTGTTTCAATAACCGGCTCTGGATTTCCATTGTCAATAATCTTCTCCATGGTAATAATCTTCTTATTTTTGCACTCTGATTTCACATGCCCAATCAATCCACATTCATCTTTAATAACCAAAGATTTACTCAGCCTATTTGCATTCAACCTTTCAGCACTTTCATTCATCTTCACTGTTTTACCATCTCCAGCAAATACCATATCTTCTTCCTTGAAATCCAACATGATATACGGCTTCTTCTTCCAAGGGTTAACTTCTGCAGCAGTTATACCCTTAACAGGCATTCCTTCAATCAGATTGTTGACATTAACCAATTCATTTGCAGTCACGTTATCCTTAAAATGAAGATTTATGTTAACATTGATATTAGAATTCGCATTTATCTCATGGATAGGTCCAGAGATTGCATTTGAATATCCGAACCTGTTAACATAAATTTTCATCTCCGATGACGATGCCGCAGGATCTACCAATAAATTCTCCGAATAATTTCTAGAAACCCGAGGTGTTTTCATGTCATTCTCAACGACAATTGCCTTACCTTTGCCCTCAACATACAAAATCTTTTTATGGACTTCACCGCAATTTTCCTTGATCAACAAAGGACCATTAGAAGCTCTGCATCCAAGAACTGTAAGCGATCCTACAGATCCTACCTTCATCCGATCGTCTCCAGCCAAATCTTGCAAAGAACCACTAGTAACCACATTCACATTTGACGCCGCCGCCAACGATGGCCACTGGCCATCCACCACCATTCCCCCAGTCCACTCCTACTCGGACGGAATGAAAACCTAGAATGAAAATTCCAATTTTTTGAACTTTCTCATGTTTATCTAAATATCAGTTATTGCTTAAGTTTTGTTTTACAAGTTTAACATTCTTTTAAAAATAAATACAATGACATAAATATAAACATAATGTATGAAAGGAAGCAAATAGAGAAATTCATAAACATTAATATGTGAAAACTCATTAATAATCATAACATTTAAATGTGTGACATGAATTTAATTTAATTACTAATACATGAACTTAATTTAATTGTCAATACCTATCTCGCAAGTATTGCAAAGCAACCTCTACGACGTACGACCTCGCTTGGACACGTGTCGTCCCTTTATGTTCAAAAACTAAGATTATATATAAGGAAATGTCAACAATAATTTTCCTTAAAGCTTTATACATTTTAAATTATCGAAACTCTTCATAAATTTATTTATTTCAATTAAATGATTTTTAATTTTCATATTAGCCACGCTAATATTTTATAATAATTAATATTAATTTTCGGATTTATTAAAAACTCAAATTTTTGGAAACCTAAATTTCTCTAATTCTGCTTCAAATATATTTTAAAACTTTCCCATTATTAATTTAATAATTAGGGCTTAATATTTTCGGATTAATTTAATAAGAAAAATGCAAATTCTTAAAAAAACTCAAAATTTTATTTTAGAAACATTCCTAGGACCCATAGAAAATATTTTGTGAAAGCTCTTTAAGAAATTTAACTTTTTAGGAAAAACCCTAATTTTCAATTCTCAAAAATATTTGGGAAAAATATGGTTTTTGTTGTTAAATTTCTTTCCCTAACATTCCCAAACAATCCTCCTTTAATTTCCTGAAGAAATTTGCAGTTTTTCTTAAACCCTAAAAAATTTTCTCGTCTAAAAATCTTTGAGAACAAAGAAGAAATGTAAATTCTATGCATAGCTTAGTCTCCCCTTAGTTTTCTCTACGTTTTTCTCCAAGTCCCTTCGCTGGAAAAGCCGCCGCCCGTCGCCCTTGCGTTCGCCTCTCCCGTCCGCTTCTCCCCTTCGCACGGTTTGGCTGAAAGAAATAATGGGGACCGAATCCTTAAGAGGGATGAGGGTTAATATTAATTACATAAAGTCTTAATTGCCTCACTTTAAATATCTCCGCTTTAATATTTACTAAGGGTAGTATAGGCATTATGAAACTTCCATGATTTTTAATTTCAAATTTAAGCGAAATTTGCCACACGTTCTTTATATCAATTTGCTCGAAATTTTGGTAAAATTTATAAAAATAATTTCGTCATGACGCATCGAGATGCGAGCAACGCTTACAATCGTGGATTTCAGGTTTCACATGAGGTGTTAGCTGTATGAAGAACTGTGTTGGCTTTAATGGGTCTGCTAGTGTTCTTAATCATCGATTTATTCTTACCACTCAGCTTCCAGATTCTTGCAATTTCAATTTGTTGACTGGTGTATATCTTGTAGAGGTAGAAGAACTATTGTATTTGTAATGGCTGAAAACTTGAGGAAAAAGGGTGGAAAACCTGGATAAATAATTACAACGACGTGCAGAACATGAACAGCCTTGAACGCTCCACACCAAGCACAATGATTAAAAACCATGAGAACCATTAGTAGAGGAGGGTTCAACACTAACAGATCATAATCACAAATAATTAAAACATAAATGTTTATAGAGTTCTTTAATTGAATTAACTATAAAATAAACAAGCTAAACATGAGAATAGGCATCCAAGCGAGGGTGGTCAAGCTTGTCATAGCCTGTTTGGTTAGTCTTAAAAATCTATGATAGTTTTGCATCAATTATCTGTTGCACTAAAAAATCTTTTTTGAAGATTTTGGGTAGCAACATGCTAGAGGGGTGACCAAACCGGTTCATGCAAGCGTGGCAAAGAATTAGAAATCTTTTTAGAACATCCATTCAAACATCTTGGAACTTAAGATGGGTTGTCTCCACTTGCCTTGTACCTGGTGATCATAACCTTGCTCAATGATTGGAGGAAGTTTTAGTGGTGGCGGTAGTATTAGAACTAGATTATCAAACATCGTCTAAATTGTTAGCCAGGGAAAATTAGCATTATTTACAGGAACACCTACAATCCCAAATGCAGGCTTGTAAGATTCTCTACTAAGGAACAAACTATTAACCTTCAAAAACATTTAAAGATCAAGCGCATTATAGATATGCCCTATCTTTAAGTACTGATATGTGATATGAACGTAAGGATTTGCCAAGGTTGTGGTTGCAATAGTTATTTTGGTAGGTAATCAAATAAGGTCAACACATGGGAGGTGTTGGTAAGAAATGAACCATTAAAAAAAACTTATCATGAACAGTAACATTAGATTTGAGAATATCAAAATGGTCCCTCAATTCTTTGTGAGAGACCAAAATGATCCCCAACTCTTTTGAGAGAGTAATTTGGTCTCTCAACTTTTTAAAACGAGACATTTTTTGTCCTAGCATTCAATGTTGGAGTTAATGATATTAAATGTAAGATTATTTTTTATCATTTTTTAATTAAACATTTATTAAGGGTAATTTTCAAGTAATAATTTTTCTTAAAAATTTTATTAAATGTTTCTTTAATAAAATAATTAATAATAATTTTAGTTTTAATTTAAAAAATTTAATCATATTTTATAATACCCCTAGCACTCCTACATCTCACAACTTGCCATATGAAAGTGCCTTCTTATTTATTCAATATTCTCCAATCATATCTCTTCCATTATCTAATTGCAGCCGCCACTCATGCAAATAAATCATTTGACCTTGTATCTGTAAGTGATGTGCTGCTGGATTCGTCTGTCATGAAGTACAATCCATTGGACTGCCAGAGACCAGAGCTACTAAATAAGAACCTAGTGGAGGGCAAGATCCTTCTTTGTGGATATTCTTTCAATTTTGTTTCAGGCACAGCATCAATCAGGAAAGTCTGTGAAACTGCCAAAAGTCTTGGAGCAGCTGGTTTCGTTGTAGCTGTGGAGAGCAGCTATCCAGGAACTAAATATGATCCTGTACCTGTTGCTCTTCCTGGAATTCTGATTACTGATGTCAGCCAGACAAAGGTACCTATATAAATTGTATTGTTTGTAATGCTATGGTTTTAATTTTGCAAGTGAACATCTGTATCAGACTTTGCTCTTTGATCTTGAAATTGTAATTAACTAATTACCTTTTCTCCACTCTCTTATTACAGGAGCTTATAGACTACTACAACTCTTCGACAAAGAGAGATTGGGCTGGGCGACCAACGGGTTTTCAAGCTACAGCTAGCATTGCGGATGGATTGGCCCCTATACTTCATAATTCTGCTCCCCAGGTGGCACTATTCTCTTCTCGAGGACCAGATGTAAAAGATTTCAGCTTTCAAGATGCAGATGTTCTCAAACCTGATATTTTAGCTCCAGGTTCTCTTATCTGGGCTGCCTGGGCACCAAACGGAACAGATGAGGCTAACTATGAAGGTAGGAAGCTCATCAATCAAAGTTTATCAGTGTTGATTGTGGAAAAATAACTTATTAGCTTATTTTGTCCTTGTTTTGATCCTTGGTATAAATGATTTAGGAGTCAAAATCTGAAAAAATTGAAACATTGATCTTTAGGAATGCAAGTATTGAAACAACAACACTTTCTAGGCTAAAAAAAAAAAACAACACTTTCTAGGCTAATTCCCGTTTTGAAATTTATACCACAGACTAGCTGTATTTGCAGAGTGAATCTAATTTTCCGTTTTTCACCATATGATTTGATGTTATGAGTATCAGTTCGAACAATTTTCCATTTAAGTGGTTTTTCTATGTATTCTTAACTGCCAATAGTCTCCAGACATAAAATATATTATGAGATTTTCTTGGTTCTCTTTTACATTATATTTCTTGAATTTGCACATATTAAAGTTGGAAGTTTACCTTTGTGAATGCATTATCCACTCGGTACATATACCTATTTATTGGTAAATGCTTTTTCATATTTCTGGATATAGTTCATTCCTTCTTTTAGATTGACCAAGTCAGTTGCTTCATTAGTTCCTACTTTTAAAATAAATTTATATTTCTTTGTTTGAAAAACTTTGATTTAGGCTTTCAGTCTATAGTTGCCATTTGAAGGGATGGATGAACAACTCTTGGTTTTTGACGCTCTCTTACCCTCATATTAAAATTATTCATCCATAAATAATCTCTCATTGACCTCAACAGGGGAAGGGTTTGCCATGGTTTCTGGTACAAGCATGGCCACCCCACATATTGCTGGAATTGCAGCACTCATGAAGCAGAAATACCCTCATTGGAGCCCTGCAGCAATCAAGTCAGCCCTGATGACAACAGCTAATACGATGGATCGCGCTGGTAGGCCTCTTCAAGCACAGCAGTACTCAGATACACAAATGATGACACTCTCTCCAGCAACACCTTTTGATTATGGAAGTGGTGAAGTTGATCCAAAAGCTGCCCTTGACCCTGGCCTCATCTTAGATGCATGTAAGCCTTGAAATTCTATCAAGACATAAATACTATATGGAATTATATTCTGAACCACTGGTTTTTGGTCTACAATGCCAGTTCTCATTGTTAGTTTCACGGAATCTTTAATGTCAAATTCTAATCATGTTGATTAGTTCTTCATATCCTTCTCTGATATAATTTAAAGCATTGGTGAGACCTGCAATGCTTTATGATGCCAAATGTTGGCCATTAAAAGAGAAGCATAAGACTAAGTTAAGTGTTGTAGGGATAAAAAAAAGTGTTGCAGGGATGAGTGGCTTTATCCTTAGAGATAGGATACAAAATGAGCATATGCATGAAAAGGTTGGAGTAGCTCTAGTGGAAGATAAGATTAGAGAGTCGCCTTAGATGGTTTGGTCACATAAAACAGCAGCCTTCCGATGACCCGGTTAGGAAAGAAGAAGTATTAGATTTGACTTATGTTAAGAAGGTTGAGTTATACCCAAAAAGACTTGGTTAGAAAATATTAGAAATGATCTTTCTTTATTAGATTTAAATGAGAATTTAACTTTCAACATGATACAATGGAGAAAAATAATTCATATAGCTGACCCCACGTAGTGGGACAAAGGCTTGATGTTGTTGTTGTCGTCGTCGTATAAAACATGTTTTAGAGAATAATGATTTTATTTTCATTCTTTTTTTAATAAAAATTCCATCATTTTATAACATTTCAGTGTCTTGCTGAATTTAAAATCCATGTTTATTTTTAATTACACGCGACCAGGCGATAAAAGTTTAGCAAGTTTATGATTTTCTGGAACATATTTTCCATGAATATCTTCTTGATCCTGTAACATCATTTCTCTTTGTCTCAGCATACGTGGACTACATAAACTTCTTGTGCTCAATACCTGGTGTGGATCCTCATGAGGTCTCCAACATCACAAGCTCACAGTGCAATGCCACCCATGGCAAACCATCTGATCTTAACAGCCCATCTATAACAATTTCGCACCTAGTCGGAACCCAGACCGTCAAGCGCACGGTTACAAATGTTGCTGAGACAGAGACCTATGTTTTGTCCACCAGAATGTCGCCGGAGATTGCCCTCGAGGCCAATCCTCCGGCCATGACAATTCTTGCTGGTTCCTCCAAGGAGATTTCAGTGAGCCTGACTGTGCGTTCTGTGACTGGAACGTACAGCTTTGGTGAGATCCTGATGAAGGGCAATAGAGGGCACCTGGTAAGGATACCAGTCGTTGCCATGGGCTACAGCAGCTGAATGGAAGGTGTGCTTTCTATGTCTTATCGTCTTAAAGAATCGTATTATTCTTTGTAGTTTTGTAAAATAAGGCGTCCGTTTAGAAAAAGCTTTTGTTCTGTATATTAGTTTTTATGGGGTATTTAAGTACCTGCCCTATAAGAATGCTTGCTCTCTGAAGTTCTTTATATGATAATGACTCCAGTTTGGGGTTTTGTTATGAGGCAAAATAAAATTTCTGAAAGTGAAGCAATGACCTGAAAAAACTTATCAGGATATCTGGATGCAAAATATATGGCCTTCAATGTCGTATAATTTGCATTGAGGTTAGTGCTTTATATAATATTTGCATTAATTTTGAAGTAAATTAGATAATTTTGAAGCATATTCCAATGTGTTTTGCATTAGAATATTATGACAATTTTTTTCTGTCCAACCAATGAGGGCAGATGTTACCAAGTTGTTACATCTTGTTCTCTTATTGCTTGTGTTTTTGGAGTTTGTTGGGATAAACTTCTTGTGGGAGAGTTGTGTGGTATTTTGCAAGGGTGTTAAAATGGGTCAACAAGTTGAGTTTGGGTCCGACCCAGAGGTGGGTTTGGGTTCAACCGAAAATTGACTTGATCCAAATCTGACCTGTTTCGGGTTAAAAATTTGAACTCGAACTCAACTCGCAGCAACTCAAACCCAACCTAACAAGTTGTTTTAATTTAAAAAGATTTATTTTTTTGTTAATTTATTAATCACATATCTCATATTAATCAATAAATAATAAGAAGAATATATTGAAAATAGAAAAGTTCTAAAAAAAATGTTAAATTGGGATGGTGGGTCATCTTGATCAAGTTGAAAGCATGGCTTGAATTCAACCCATATGAATGGGTTAACTTCAGTTCAAAATTTTCAGGTTGTTAGGTCGGATTATTTGTTATTTTGTAGAGTTGAACCTTTTACACTGCTTATGAAAATCTAAATAAAATAAATGTAATTAAGGCAATAATAAAATAGATTGGGTTTAAATGCCAATTGTCTTCATTAGCCAATAGTGTTTTGGTATTCCAAATCTGTCTTTGTTTTAAAAGCAGTAATTGGTGTCGTTGATTGAGTGGTTGATTCATATTTATTTGTTTATTTAAATAATCATTTTGTATTTTAGCGATAGTATTTTTTCAATTATTTATATGATATAGATTTAATTTTTTTATATATTTTAATAATCTTCCTGTAAGATAAACATTCTTTGTACTGACTATCTCAGCTCAATTGAAATTTTATTTACTTTTTATAACTTAATCATTCATTAAGAAAAGCCCTTCCCCGACGACTAGTTCCCTCGGCATCACTTGTTTATTAGTGGCATCTCTAAGTTTGTGTACAATCCTCTTCCGCTAAGCCGAGTGACATCAAGAGTGTATGTGAGGGACTCTGAAGTGAATGATCTAGATCTTAAATAGTGGCTTTTGTTAAGAGCCATTTGCTTTATTATTTATTTGTGGAAGTGCTTTTGTTAGTCTCATGTTGCTTTTAATTGTAATCAATTGACATTACTTAGTTCTTCAGCGGAGATTTTCTTACGATCTATCTTGGAACGCATTTGTTTTTAATTAGCTACGCAAAGTTCACAAGTTATTAATTTCCTACAAACAATTCTTGCATCGTTTCACATCAAAAGTTTTTTTTTTTTAATTAAAAATTTCATCAAATTTTTTTCTTAAAACTAATATTCTAATTTATAGAAAATTTATGTAATTAAAGCTAACAAATTACATTAAAGGAATATTATAATATTTAAATTTAAATCAAGTAGCTTAAAATATGCTTATTTTAAATTTGTATATATTTTTGATATATTTTTATAATAATAAGATATAATTTTTTTATATATTTATTGCTCGTAAATTATCTTTTAGTTATATTTATATTTAAATTAGATATGAAAAACTATAGTAGAAGAGTGGTTGAAATAGATTAATACGATAATATATAATTTAAATAATTTTTTGTTGAAATTAATTTAGATGAGTATGACAATACGTTTCTTTTCATTATTATAGAATTTATCTTCTTATAATTAAAAAATAATAATAATAAATTTAAAACCATAATATCGATTTCAAGCTAAAACGAAAATGCTTGAGGATATTTTTAAAGTTAAAAATTTTTTCCCCCGCCAATAAAAAATCCTGAAGACTCCACTGATTTTAGGGGTTCAATTGCACAAATTATGAGTAGATCACTTTGGAAAAGCCTATTAAAATCAAACTGAGTTGCATTCAAGCATTCTCAATTGCACATATTATGATTAGTTCAGTTGCATTGTAACTTATGCCATTTTTTAGATTCAATGGTCATAACCGCTATTTCTTTACAAACAGACACTATATATCTCAAATAAATAAACTTCTGGTTGAGAAAGAATTCAAAAGCATTGATCTAAGTAAGTTATTAAGCAATGGTTAAGTAAACTTCAACCCTACCAAAAACCAAAACATCAAGCCTTCTTCCATTACATGGGTCGGCTGCATGAATCATTTTTCTTCATTGTGTCTTGTTAAGAGTCAAATTTGCATTTAAAATCTAATAAAGTAAGGTCATTTTTAATATTTCTAACTAAGTCTGTTTAGGCCTACCCTTACCTTTCTTAACATAAATCAAATTTAATACATCTATCCTCCTAACCGGGTCACCAGAAGGTCGTCGTTTTATATGATCATACCATCTAAGGCGACTCTCTCTAACTTTATCTTGCATTGGAGATACTCCAATATTTTCACGTATATGCTTGTTTCGTATCTTGTTTCTAAGAGTAAAGCCACTCATCGGCCACCTAGGCATCCTCATCTCTACAACACTTAATATTATGCTTCTCTTTTAATGGCCAACATTCTGCGTCATAAAGCATTGTAGGTCTCACCACCATCTTATAGAATTTTCCCTTAAGTTTGAGGGAGACTTTTCTATCACACAAGCCCAATGCATTCCTTCACTTCAATCATACAACTTGAATTCTACTAATAAAATCCCCATCTTTATACCATCACTTATGAAAAAAAAAAAAGACCTAAGATATCTAAAATGTGATGGCTCAAAGTCACAATCCCCCTACTAGATATATTACTACTAAAATCACATTCCATATATTCGGTTTTAGATCTACTCAAATGAAAACTTTTAGACTCTAAGGTTGACCTCCATAATTCAAATTTACCTTCAACTCCCTCCCTAGTCTTATTAACAAGAAGAATATCATCAGCAAAAAACGTACACCAAGATATAACCTCTTGCAAATATCTAGTGAGAACATTCATGACTAAAGCAAAAAGATATGAGCTTACAGATGACCATAAATTTGGAAAATACTTTCTTAAAAATAGTAAATGGCTGTGGATTTATAATCAATTGACACATTCTTTGGATTTTATTCTATTTCCTAATTTTCTATCAATTCAAGCAAATCATGAAATCAATATTACAAAATTTTGAGAAATTTACGTAAAGATAGTTTAAGGTCTATGATAAGGACTCTATCCATTTTAAGCTGTCAGCTTAGTTTTGGAAATTACTCAAATCTAGGTAGGTGACATTTTGAATATCTCAGTTTTAACAAAAATGAAGTTTTCACAAATTTTTTTATTAAATTTATAATTTCATAACCAAAAAATAAGTTTAACCTTTTACTCATTAAACTTTCATAGTGTAATTTTATGTATGTTGTAGAGATATCAATTCTGAACATTTCATATAATGTATGAATTTTCTAAAAAAATTTATATAAGGTATTTTGGATTATGCTCCTTTCTAATAATCTAAAATATAATTTGAAATATGAAAAATAATATTGTAGGGCAATTAAAGTCTTGAAATAGTATTCTACATAATTCCTAAAAAATTGATTATATTCTAGAACAATGAATTTTATACAATAGTATATTATGTTGCCTACTATTATAACAATTTTTGAAATTCTGAAATGAGTTTATTTATGCTTTAATTATTGTAATATAAAGAATTATGTGCTTAATTGATTGAATGGATGATTATGATATGATTGATTGTGGATGGAGGAGGAAGTTTTGTTATGGTGTTGAATGCAGGAGATATAACCCAGCATGTCATGAACCAAGCAGCCATCCGCGTGCATGTATACATTTCCTAGATGGATCATTTCGCTATTTTAAGTGGATAATTGTGTGAGGGAGTTAAAAAGAATAACTCCTCATGGGAGATATATTGTTTCCCTCACTCATGTAGGATCAAATCACGTGAGAAAGTTTCAATTGAGAGAAATCGACTAAGAGAAAGAAGGAGAAGAAATGTATGTTATCTTTCAATTTAGATTACTTTGTGTGCAATTCTTTTGTGATTTAAACTTAGGAAAGGATATGTATCTCTTTTAAAGGTGAAGGAAGAGAACTTGAGAGAGAAAGAAGAGAAAAGTTTTCTTTGTAAGTGATTTCAATCATATTTATTTTCTATGCAAATTTTGAAGAAGAGAAATTATAAAATTAATTTTAATGGAAATAGCAGTATATGATTTCAGAAAAGAAGAAAAACTGAAGGAGAAAGAAGAAGTATTTGGATTTGAAACATTCCTTCCTAAGAAAGTGTAAGTAAATTCCCTTTCTTATTATATTTTTCTACTCAAATTGAGAGAAGGAAAATTTTATGTTATTTTGAATTATTTTATTTAATGCAATTGTTGTAAGATTATGACATTATATTAACCGAATTATTGATGAATATATATATATATATATATATATATATATATATATATATATATATATAT